CAAATCCACTGAAAAGGTCCACCGCATGACAAGACCCCAGCTCCACCCTTCAAATTGACAAGGATGTTCCCGATCTGCAGAATTTCCGGCGGGCTGCCTCGGCAATTCGCATTTCGCTCTCGTAGGAGAGCCTGATTTCTGAGCTCCGGGGCGATTCCCAGGAGGCCAATGGTACGGACGGTCGGCTGGGTTCTCGCTGCTTTCGCAAACTGCTTGGGCCTACAGAAGTGGAAGGTGTGCGAGAAGCCAAAAAGACATCGCCGTCCAACATGGCAACTGAGAGGGGGTCCCTTCAAAAGGACATATTTTTTCCAGGAACCTCCCCGCAAATGCCAGGTTAGTTGGAGGAGGGGTATGCGAAAATGACTTGTCATGCACACAAGAGAAAGCATTCCGGTGTGCTTCTTTAGCCCCCTAACATAACTTTCTTTCCAAGGATCACGGCAGACGGCCCCGAAGACTTCCATGTTTTGAGGGTTCAATGTGCTTACCTTGTTTGAGAACCAACGCTTTGTTTCCATTAATGAAGCTCTGGCTGATTTGATGGCTCCGTGTTTGAGGGGAACCTTCACTCTTCTGAAGCAACGCTCATATCCACCAGGGCAATTGTGGGGTCAACATTGCGCGTCCATTTGCTGGGCAGTATGTTCCTTTGACCCCTGTTTGTTTCAAAGGGCGGTCAAGGCCAACCTAGACGTTGAGAGTCTGGTGGGCTGCATGGCGGGAAAAGATTCGATTTACCCTTCCAGAAATCATTGGGCGGCAGCGTCTTCTCCGACCTTTCTGTGCACTCCTAGCGGATGTCCACGAGTTCCTCCCAGGAAAGACTGCGTATATACCCACTATCCAGTCACATAAACACTGCAGCACCCCGGTCCAAGTTTGGGAAGGGTGGGTTGGGATGTGACATGGCCATCGACTTCTGAAAGACACGGGTTTTGCAAGCTTTGACCTCTGAGCTTTGCGAGTTGGGGCAAGGAGCAACCGGGACCTTCAAAACCTCTCAGAGCTTTGGCCCCTGACCTATGTACATATAAATATACATGTGCAAAACAATTTATGTGTTTTTTTGTTTTTATGACCGGACAACTTAGGTAAACTTTTTACCAGTTGTTTGTAGTTGTGTGCTCCTGGTATGTGTGCACATGTGTGTATGCACGCGCCTGTTGGCCCAATTCTCGGCTTCTGGGATCCCTCTTGAGCTTGCTTTACACTTTGAGGTTCACTGAATTTGAACCAGAATCAAACAAAGAAAATGGTGAAGGGCACAATCTCTTGACGATCCCATCACCTAGGCCGCAGATTTCAGGTATCAGTCTAGGGGCAGCTTCCCCATTCTTTCCAGGGATCCTTCTTTCTAGAAAACCACCCAAAACCTGGGGAAATGGCTGGTTTTTGAAAAGAACGATGGCTGAAAAGAATGGAAAAGGAATCAACCCCTAATTGGATGTATCGTAACTCTGCACGAAACTTCAGAGCATGGTCTGCCGCTAGCAGTTGTGGGACTGAGTCCCAGGAAAGAGGCACCCATTAGTATAACCCCCCGGCCCCCTTTCCTCTTCTTCCATTTCGAGGTTTCTACGTGGCTCCCAGCCATCCGGTTCCTTAGCCTTTTAGCCTTTTAGTGTTTATAAGGGAAAGTTCCATTTAACCCACGAACAGTTGTTCACTTTTAGCGGGGGATCCGAAAACGAGCAGCCCAGAGGTTGATGTGTGGCACGCCGCTCGCGGCAACCCGAGCCCCTCAGGCGCCCAAGAGGTCGCCGGTGGTTTCTTCGGAGGCGCTGCATGGCGCGGTGGAGGCGGAGGCAGGCGCTAGGTTTGGCCGTGGTCTTCTTCCATTTGCTCATTCGAGCCATCCAAAACGCATCAGGTACGGAGCTTAGGGACGCCATAGCCTAACCCGAGGGCCCAAACGCCTTCCCACCCCAGGTTGCCCAGGGCTCCTTGAAAGATTTGCCCACCCATTTGAAACATGGCTGGCTTTTTAAACACAGAAATAAAGTTGGAAACCACCATTTACAAGGCAGGCAATGTTCAGGTGTATATCTGGATCCCTGCTTAAGACACGGTGTTGGGTCCCGAGCAGGCCAGGGCAAGGAGGTCGCAAGTGGAGGCCCGGTCCCTAAGCAAAAATAGAAAAACGTTTGGAAAGGTGGTCACGCTCCTTCTCTCCATGGTTGTTGTTGGGAAGCATTTTGCATTTTGGCTTATTGTGGTCTAGTGGGAAATGTTGCTCCTTTTGTTGAAATCTGATTGCTCTTTTTGTTCCCCCTAGCTTTCAAGGGAATCCATCACTAGTGGACATGTCAAGCCAAAAAGCACACGTTCCAGAAAACCCAAGTAAATGGACGTTGCAACTAGATCCCCCAGCTAGATGCCCTTTCTCACCCCTTTTGTGGTTGGGAGGGCCCTACTAAAATCGACTACAGGAAAAGGTTGGTACCCTTATTCTAACCTCTCTACTACTGGAGGACCTAGAGAATATGTTGTTATTTTCCCCTGCTGGTTTTTAAAGGGAATCTATGACTACTGGACATATTTTATTTGTTTCAAAGGGGGCTGAAGCAAATGGAAGACTTCCCTGGTAACCAAGGAAACCGCCCTTAACCCAAAAGGAGCTGGCTACATATAAGGGAAACTAGGATGCACTGGATGTGGTGCGAAATAGATGGGGTTCGCGCAATTAAGATTGGGTACCCTCCCTTGCACTGACAGAGGTCCCTTGAGGAAGTTGCATGTCCCACCCTCCCACAAATGCTGCGTGAGTTGGAGGAGGGGTAGTTTCCCTTTTAGACCATTGCCTAAGCTCCGTTTCGGACTTTAGTCACTTTTTGGGGTTGGACCATTTTAGAGGTAAATAAAGCATTTGGTCACCTGGACCTTCATTCGTTACATAAATTTGTGTTCCAGAGTGTTTCGTAGCATAAATTTGCTAGTCGGTCGTTTTTGTTGAGAACGGGCATTTGTTTTTACTTTTGTTGTCACTTTTTGGGGTTGGACCATTTTAGAGGTGCATGAAAGGTTTGGTTACTTTTCTTTGGCTCGTTTCCAGAGACCTTCTATCTTGATCTGTCTTATTTGTCCGAATCCTCGTGCGTGGCGGAAGCTGATCCTTTTCCCATCCCTGTGCTCCTTGGAAAGGTGTCCAAATGGGGCTGAACCCTTCCCATCCCCGTGTCGGAAAAAACGTGCTGTGATTCTTTTTTTAGTGTGGAACTTTTAGGTTTTTGGAGGGGTCTCAAATGGTGAGGGAAGTCGCGACCCATTGACATCAATTTTGGCCGCAGTGGCCAGAGTGTGTTAGCGTCAATTTCCGAAAGGCATTCCAAAGCCCAGGCTAAGAGTTCACTTCCAGAATCGGTTTAACCGTGCACCCCTCCATTGTTTGCTTTCAGGCCCTTGTGCACTTTTTTCCGGAAGCTGACAGGCTAGAAGGCGAGCTTTGTCTGGGGATCTTTATTGGACAGAGTGGGACCGCAACCAGGGTAATAATGATGACAGAAGAATAAGAATGACAGTAAGAATGGGACGAAGGACGTTCAAAAAAGCTTCGGTAGTACTGAAACTAGTTGACTTAGCTTTCTTCAATGCGTTTGAGCGTGCAATCCCTGCCGGCAGGGTGTAAGACGACATTTGTCCGGGGACCCCATGGGACAGAGGGGGGGGGCTTTGAGCGGTTCTTCAGGCGAGCCCTCGGCGCCCGCGGCTGCTGTCCTGGGCACCTGGGCACATCGATCGGGAAAAAACCGCAGGGTGGAGCTGAGTTCTACATGTTGCATGGTACTCCCCTAAAATTCTCAAGCGACACATGTCTTTCCTGGAATGGGACCCCCCAAATTTGGGCCTCATGTAAATTGTGCAGTACCTCTAGTTGGGTGGTTTACGGTTTTGATTAAGATTTGAACCTCTAGTTGGGTGGTTCGGGGTAGGTTCCCATGTACCCTCTTTCTTAAGCCAGGTGCTCAAATCCCCAAACCAATCCAAACCACCAATGTTGTTGGGTACCTGTTATCAGGGGAACCTGGCGCTGGTCTCATGTCCCACTTTGCAACAAGGAGCCCGTAGGGCCGCACTCAAAACTCAATTGTTTTGTTGGTAGACTCTTTTGACTCTTTTGATTTCAGGCATTGCTTATGATTCAACTGGTCTATTCTGCGTCCAAAGTGGAACGCAAGGTGTTGATTACAACCCCCAAAACTCTACTGCTATGTTATCTTTTGGATTCCCCTCATATTTCCTTTCAACCCGCAAACAAGTAAGTTTTTGCTGGGGGATCTACAGCACCCAAGAAAAAGATGATCATGGAACCCCAAGAGGCGCTCCGCGCTCCAAAAGGAGCTTCGACCGAGGATCGTCAGAATCGCCAGGCGAGATTGCACGGTTCGCCGCGACGAGCTGGGCGAGTGACTTCTCCGTTGCGGTGCGAAAAGAGGGGAAAAGACGCCCCGGTTGGGGGGTGTTCTTCCCCAGAATTCGCTCCCCCTGTTCCTTTTTTTTGCTTTTTTGGGGGCCCCCTTTGTTTTCACACTAACCAGGCAAGAAAGATTTTTTGCTGCTGGGGTCCTAGTTCCGGCCTAGTTTTTATGAACTTCAAGCTTTCTAGCCCCTTTTGACCTCGTTTGCTCTTGGGCTGGCGGAGTGGTGCTTAATGGATATCTATCCCGTTTGTGTAGGAGTGTTCCGGTCAGAGCTTTTGTTTCTTGTCCAACGACCCAAGGTTCCAGCGGCAGAGGAGCAGAGTGCGACCCATGATGTTCAGCGGAAACCTGGAGGAAGATGCCCCGTTAGGTCCAGGAAAGAAACCTAAGAGGGGTTCCACCCCAATTTCGATTGTATTCAGACAGCTTTGTTCGGGGGCACCTCAGTTTTTGTTTTTTTCCCCGAGGCCAACGTTTTGGCGGTCGGAAGCCTGTAGATGCTCGCCCCACTTAAAGCCAGGCCAAGATACTACAAAACCTGGAACAGCCTAAAAAAGAACCCGGTTTGGGTGCCCCCGTATGTTATCCAAGCAACCAAGCAAACAATACAGTCGCAATACAGTACAGTACAATACAATACAACACAACTACAATACAACGCAATACAATACAAACACACAAAGACAGATGAAGCAAAAAACAAGCACGAACAACTACAAGCAAGCAAGAAGCAAGAAAGCGGACACGTAAGCAAGCATCCAACTTACCAACCGACAAACCATACAAGCAACCAACCAACCGAACAACCAATGAATCAATCCATCCATCCATCCCTCCGTCCATCCAAACATCCAGCAAGCAAACCAGCACAAACAAAAAATACACAAACAAAGAAACACAGAAGCATACAAACAAAGAAGCATGCAAACAAACAACCAATCAATCCAACAAACGAACCAGCAAACAAGCAAACATGCCTACAAAGCGACAAACAGACAAATACACAGGCAAACGGGCAAACAAGCAAAACATAAACAAACAAACAGGCGAAGGCACAAACACACCCAACCACGCAAACAGCTTTTGAGCCAAGGGCAGGGGGGTAACTTATGAGAGGGATCATTGGGGTGAGCCGTCAGGCCGAGCCGGCACCAAGACCGCAAAGCACCAGGCGCATGCGAGTCGCATGCGGCATGCCCTGGTTTGATCGGTGCAGCTCTATTTGGCCCCTTTGTTTGGGGTGGTTGCAAGGTAGATTGAAAGCAGTGTGTGGTCTTGAAGCTTGCTTGAAAGGAGTGGTGGTACAACGGGTGGCTTGATCCGAGTTCAAGGAGTCGGGTGGTTTTTTTTCCAGGTGGTTTCAATTCAAAGTGGCTTCAGAGGTTTTCAAGGCATCTCACAAAAGGCTTAAGAGACATCATTGTGTTTTTGGCTGGGCATCTAGCACTGAACCGGGCTGAGCGTTGGAACTCCAAAAGACCGATTCTGGCCAGCGAGCACACCGGGTTCGGGAGCAGAAATCGAGGAAGGTCCTTTACGTGAGCTAGGTCCCCCAGTGGTGCCCTTTCTCACCCTTTTTTGGTTGGGAGGGTTTTCGTCCACTAAAAAAAGACAGAATAAAGTTGGTACCCTGATTCTAACCTCTCTACTGGAGGACCTAGTGTGGATTCAAGTCTTACTCCAGGTGTTGGATTTGCACCTTTTTTCTTCTCCGAAGAGTGGCAGCCTCATCAGAACCCAATAGAACCCACCAGTAAATTGATCAGTGTGGGACATCCATGCCGGTTCAGCATCTGCTGTTCCTTGCTCAAGGTCCCCGCGCATATGTTTTTCCACCCCCCTCGCCTGTGTCTCTCAACATGGGAATCGATCTGTTAAAACGCCTCAAAACTGTTCTCTCCAAAATGGAGACATGCGCAGACACACATATGTTTATAAACAAGAAAATCTGCACAAGCTGGTTGCGGATCAACACGCTGAGTCGCTTTCTTGGCCAAAGACTACTGGATAAAGGCTGGCCGGAGTGAATTAGTGTGCATGGACAAAGGCTTGCACCACCTAAGAGACCCTAGAAGGATGGTTCCCCCCGTAAATACCAAGAAATGGCTTCTTATGGCTTCAAAGTGGTGCGAAATGGATTTCGCAACCACCCACACCATGACGAATGACACCGGGAGTTGCGTGAGAAAAACATCGCACCTCGTTTCTGCCGATGCGCGTCACGTGGGCTTCTTCGCTGGCTCCTGGCCTCTTGCAACAGTTGCGTTTCCGTGGTCAGGTACTCGCTGGGCCAAGCCTCCTCACTTCATGGTTGTTGTTGTGAAACATTTTACATCTTTGCTTATTGTGGTTTAGTGGGAGATCCCCACGTAACTGCCAAAACATAAATTTGGTGCTCCCCTTCCACGTCAACCAAAACTTTTGGGCCCCTGCTTTGCGTTTCTTTCTTTTTTGTGGGATCCTTTCGGCCAGGGCAAGTGGGAGACGGAAAAGAAAGTGCTCCCCCGAAAACCGACACAAAATCCCAAGACTCCAGAATTAACATGGTTTGCTTGGCTGCTTTAGGAGTTGCATGTAATTTTCGGAAAAGTACCGCCAGACTTCCCTGTCACTGGCCTTTCAGCATTTTGCCTTCAGTTTGGCACGCCTTTGCTACCATGACCTGGCCACATGGCCCGAAAATGGGGGGCGGACGTCTGAAAATGTAATTTGCATTGGTAATTTGCATTTTCGCCCAGCCCCCCCCAAAAAAAAATAAATAAGCTCGGGTGATATCCCCGTGCTCTTTTTAGTGCTCGCACCACCCCGCACGCAGAACCTGGTGGAACCCTTGTGGAACCCTCGTGGAACCTTACCTCAGGGCCGCCCCGGACCACCCCGGAGCCTATCTGGGCTGAGACCCCAAAGCTTTCAGCTGTTGGGGAAAAACAAAGAAGAAAACAAGTAAGGGGAACCCCCCCCCCCCAGGTGTGTATATCCGTTGTTTTTTGGGGGGGAAAGGGGCCGGGGTAAAAAAATGTAACTTGACACATGGCACGTCGAAGCTTACTTTTTCTCCCCCCTCCCCCCTCAACAAAAGTTGGGGAGTCGCAAAATGTAAGCTGATGATGCTGGAGGGCCAGATGTGGCGCATGCCAGAGGCTTTTGAAGTGGGGCAAGTTCAGGAAGTTGTAACTTGGTTATGTGCGAGGTACCTTGCTGATAGGTCCACCAGCGTCCAAAATATAATCTTACATTTGGCACTTCCCCCGAAGAAAATGTAATCTTACACTTTCAGGTGCCAAACCCCAGAAAATGCAAATTGCATTTTCAGACGTCCCCCCCCTAGCGGGGCCACCGTGTCAGATCCTGGGATTTGAGCCAATGGTGGTGCCTTCACAGCACATATTTCACGCTCGATTCAAGATCCGGTGAGTTGGTGAGCGAACTTGTCCGAGGCTCACCACTGGTTACTTGTCTGGTTTGAATTTGCTTAGAAGTGGCGGTCTATTTTAGTGTATTGGACATTAGGGGTCTGGACACGCAGAATTCAGAGGGAGGATATATGAATGGGGGTTTCTGGGTGGGTGGGTTCGCCGTTTTGCGGATAGTACTCTGCCTGCCCATATCCCCGATGGCACATCAGTTGTCGTCCGAATGTCTGAAGAATCTCGACGAGTTATGGTCTGCGGCTAGGGAAGTTGAGTCTCATCCGCCCCAGTCGGGCTGCTGGAGGGACAGCTAGCGGCATAAGCCGAGAGCAGACCCTTGAGACTCTTTTCCAAAGGTCAAGCAACGGGCGCGACGGCGCAAGGGTCGTGAGACTCGCCCATTCACATTGTGAACCGACCTCAGTCTTAGAACGGGGTGGTCGAAAACCCTTTAGTTGCGACTTCAGACAACCCTAAAACACGTTTTCCACTTCGCACCTTCTTGAAAAGAGACTTAGGGTGCGTCGATGCCGAGCTGTCTCAAAAAGAATTCAAGGAATCATGGTCGGAGCTTTGCAGTACTTGTCCATGTGTCCTAAAAGCGGGGGGGGGGGGGTGCCTTTCAATATTGTTTCGCACGGACACCGACTTTCATGTTGGAGGTTGCCGATAGGAAGTGGGCCTTTTTTTGATGCGCCAAACGCCGTTTGGCCAGGTCCTTTGCTGCCAGCGTGGCCGCCGCGTGGCCGAACTGGATGCCAACCTGAGCAGGGCTCCTTAAAAGATCTCCATTTTGCAACCATTTGAAACATGCTGCTTTTTCAACACCAAAATAAAGTTGGAAACCACCATGTACAAGTTGCAATGTTCAGGTGTATAATGTAAGGATCCCTGCTGAGACATTAGTTTGCATCTGCTTATGCAGTAAGCCAAAGCCTCCATGCTCGTGGGGTGTTTGAACATACATCGGTACGCAAGGGTGGTAGACAAATGAGGGCTGCCTACTCCAGGCTTTGCAAATTACACAGAGCCCTCACAATGGCCAGCAGTGGGAGTGGGCCAAGTGGCAAGTGACCTCCGACTCGGCCTCAGGGGTTCCCTCGGTGGGGTGCTAACAGGAGACATATGAGTGTGTCTTTTGTATTCTTGTCTTTGGGACCTTCCTAGGTTAGCTTCACCGTTGGCGTGCCGTGTTTGTTTTTGGTGTTTGTGTTCGTTTTTATGGGGCTGCAACAAACTTTCAGTTGTTTTCTGCCATTCCAAAGGCTGGAAAGTTCACCTGAATCATAGATTCATGTTGGCCCCGGACTGGAAAACCCCTGCTTGACTTTGATCGGAGGGTGTTTCCTTGTAGAAGGGGCTCTGATGTTGGAGGAAACCACTGTATACAAGGATGGGTCTATCGTTTCGGGACAACGTTCAAGGAAGCAAAATGGATTCGAATCCACAGGCCCTTGGGTCCCTATGATCATTTGAGAATCCTAGCTGTGGCGCTCAGAGGGCAAACCATAGCCTACAGTCTTATTCACTGGTGTTTAGCCAACTCCCTACTTGTTGGCAAAATCTAAACATCACCTTTTTATGCCGAGCTCAAATGGAGGGCAATGCAAGCTTGCCATGATGCAGGTCGTTTGCATGTGGAACCCTGATTTCAGGTTTGATGATTATGTAAACCGTGCAGCTAAAACCATCGTGCATTTCAGTGTTTTTCCTTTTGGCCTTGCCATGTTTAGGGACCCCGCCGTACTACAGATGACTTCCGTGGTTTCAGCCTTCGGGGGGTCATGCCTGCACAGCGTCTCAGCAAAAAAACAAAAATATAAATACCGAACTCCTGGCGATTTGTTGAGGGCACTCTGGAGGATGCCTTGCTTTTGCCCGCACCCGAATCATTTCGCCGGGTTGAAAAAAACTGCAGTTTGGATTGGTCCGCATCCAAGCAGCTGCATTCCCTGCACTTGAAAGTAGTGTTCGTGAGAACATACTGATTTGAACATGTGGTTTTCCTAAGGCAGCAAAAGGCTTCAAGGAAGGGTTTTTTCATTTGCCCAGTCGTGAAAGGTCACGCGGAAGAAAAGAGACAGCTACCATTCGCGAAAGCTTTTCTTTCGCAGCTGCGGAAGCCCCGCGTTCGCGAAAGGAATTTGTGAGCGTCTTGCACCTGCCCAAGAATGATTTTGGAACAACGCTCATTGTTGTGTGTCTGTTTTAGGGAGCCTCGACATGCGTGGTCCTTTCGGTTTCCCTTTACTTTAAAAGCCACAAAACACATGTGCCCAAAGAAGAATACATCATGGTTTTTGTTGGGAAACATTTTACATGTTTGCTAAATCCCCACTGAACTGCTAACAAAAAAACATCCTCCCCTCCCAACGTCAACCAAGACATGCTGATCTGAACCTCCCGGGATGCCCGGTAACTCGCCGGAAGCTGCGAGCGAAGCCATTGGCAGTGCGCCCGTGGAAGTTAAAGTCGGCTAGTAGTTGTGGCCGGTTTCTGTTGCTTCGAGTGTTGACTCCGACATTCCTCCCGGTTGCTTCAATCGTTGGATTTCTGCAATCAACGTTGCAACTGGTGCTTGTCGAGCCAGACCCTCTGAACAAGGGGCAGAGAGAGATAGAGAGAGAGAGAGAGAGACGCTGAGAGAGAGGCAGAGAGCGAGAGAGCGAGAGATAGAAACCACCTGGTTATTCAATCAAGACAGGTGTCAAATTCTTCCCCAGAACTAGCTCCCCCTTTCTTTCTTTCTTTGATTCTTTCTTTCTTTCCTTTGTTTCTCTTTTTTTGTTTTTTTCTTTTTTGGGGTTCCCTTTGTTTTCCACTCACCAGGCAAAAAAGAAAAAATGTTTTTCGCCGGGCTCCGATTTTTGCCTCGAGTTCCGGGGCCCCTTGAAAGGCGGCCAATTTGGGGCACGGGAGAAAGTCCGAGTCTCGGCACGGCCCGATCGTCCCATGCCCAATGGGCTTGGGGGTCTGCGAGTATCTCAGATTCTATTTACCTCGTTGTTACCTCTTTGAAAAAAAATAAACTCACACACACAACTTTTCAACTTTTTGGGGGTAACATGGGCTATAAGTCTGTAAAAGATTAACTTCCCCAGGGCTTGGAGTTTTAAGGGGCAAGCATCTGATTCGGGACGTCCCGTGTTCAGTGTTTAGCACCCGGCTTTTCGATGTGTTTCTTCATCTCTTCCGCGTGCTTGAGTCAGACCACTGTTTGGCACGCGAAGCGACGTCCCCGGCGTAATGTCAACTTCGGCTTAACCCGGTGGACCCTACAGCAAGCCTGAAAAGTAGACCCTATCATACCCAAACCGGGAAGCCCCATGGAAAAATCCGAGGCTTTCGGGATCCATCCGTAGCAAAGTCCCGAGGACTCGCTGCTGGGTCAAGACGAAAGCTCAGAGGCGCGCCAAGCCATGGAGCGTGACCTCCAGGCGGGGAGGGAGGGCTGCGGGGTGGTTTTGGCTGCGAAATCCCACAGGAAGAAACAAACCCTTCGCAGTGACTTTTGTCGGTGACCCTTCCCAGTGACCCTTCCCTGTGACCCTTTCCCAGTGACCCTTCCTAGTGACCCTTTCCCAGTGAGGGCAGCCTTTTTTTGGGCTGCGTTTTGGGGTTTCCCATGGCTCTCTGAGATTTTTTATGCCGGCTGAGAAGCACGATGCTTTCCGACATGGGGTTGTCCTTTTGAGCATAATGACTGAACATCATGTCAGCCAGCGGGTTCCACTCATGATTGTGGATGCGTGTTTTGCTCTGGGTGTGCGTGTGTGCGTCCACAGCAACGAACACAAGCAGGCTGCACCCTTTTGTCTCGCTGTCAGTTTGAATGAATTGTAGTAAATTGCCCAGATACAGGGAATATGTACTCGTTTGAGGCAGCTCTGGCGAAGTGAGGGAAACCCGCGTGAGTTTGACTCAGTTGTTCGGATGGGTGATTTGGAGTTTCGAGGGAGTCCTTCCCTTTGGTTCTGACAAGAAGCACGCTGAATACTGTGGGTGGACGAAATCCTGCACCACCTATGAAGAACATGAATGACGATTCGCTGGTAAATGCCATCAAACAATGGTGTCCTATGGGTTCGAAGTGGTGCAGGACTTCTTAGACTTTCATTCACAGTAGCAGACATTGTTTGCGTGTTTTGCACAACGTTGATGAGTGGCAGCCGGCACCCTTTCCCGGATTTGTTCGGCAACCCCGAAAAGGGTTCCCTTTTCTTGGTGGCTCCAGCCATCCCCTTAGCCTTCTAGCTTGTTAGTGTTTAGTGAGAATTGCCCAGGTTTGTGTAGGGTCACTAGGCAACAGGGTGGTGAGGTCATGGAGGGTGCGCCAGTCTCCAACCAGCTCGGCTGCACCACTCCAACAATGCGTGTTCCGGCTGGAACGGTCCATGTTGCGCTTCTATGGCTCTGAAAGGATTCAGTTTAGCCGTTTAAAGCACTACTTTGTCCACCATGCCAAAAGGAAGCCACAATTTTGGGATTCAGGTGGACAATGTCAGAATGTTTGTCGGCCCGCTTCTAGTGGCTGGAGTCAGGGATGTTAGGACCGTTTTCCACCCGACATGTGTTCAGAGCGTGGTTCCACGTTTTACATCCACACACCCATACATCCATATATACATCCATAAGTACATCCATACATACATACATCCATACGTACATACGTACATACATACATACGTACGTCTGTTCCAGTGTTCCAGTGTTCAAGTTTTCCAAAGTTCCAGTGTTCCAGTATTCCATTGTTCCAGTGTTTGCAGTGTTCCAGTTTCCTGTGTTCCAGTGTTCCAGTGCCAGCGTCCAAGTGTTGCCAGTGTTTCAAAGTTCCAGTGTTCCAGTGTTCCGCTGAGTTCCAGTGTTCTTGTAGTCCATCCAGTACGTACGTACATACGTACATACATACATACATACATCCATACGTGCATACGTACATACGTACATACGTGCATACGTCCGTACGTACGTACATACATACATCCATACGTACATACGTACATACATACTGCATTGTGTCCACTGTGCAAACGGAGGGGCTTCTCCTCTGCCAGGCAAAGTACGGGCAAGGCTTCGGCCTCTCGGCGGAGGGCTTATTTTTCGGTACCCTTTAATTGGATTCTTGGTTTGGGATTTGAACCCCTGGCTCTTGCAGAGGGGAAATGGAAGACCACCCCATATAAGCTCCAAACCACCGATTCGGCTCCAAACCGCCAGCTAGAGGGAGGCTAACGTGGCCCTGGCTCTTGTAGAGGGTAGCCACGGAAGCTGGTTTGGATGGCCTGGGGATCCAAGTCTTATTTCAGGTCTTGTTTTGTTTTTTGTGTGTTTTTGTTTTCTCCTTTTTTTTTCCGGTCCTTAAAAAACATGCAGATTGGTGGTTTGGGGATGTGAACCCCTGGTTCTTGTAGAGGGATAGCCGGAAAACCATCAACCGCGAAACCACTGGACCGCCAACTCAAGCCACCAATTAGAGGGAAGCTGAGGTTTCCCACTGCCATGGGTGTTGCTAGGGACGGCCATGGGCCAAGTAAGATGAACCTTGGGCAATCATGAAATACATACCCTTATTTCGGGAGAAATGAACATGTATCACATAAGGAGCTTTTACCATGGCACATACGTGCTTTGCCTGTTTTGGTGCATTACTTTTTGGCACTGACCAAAATTTGAAGTTTCCGCCACCGCGCTTGGCACTTCCTGGCCACATGGCAGGTTAGGAGGCTTCCACCATGTTTGGTTTTTCTGTTATTGCCTTTCCGGTTCCACACCTTTCAACAAGCAACGTGGTGATTATTTTTGTTGCCCATGGTCCATGGCCATGGTCATACAAGTAGGCCTTGAATTGGGTCTTGTGGAGTTGACCCTCCTTCAAAGTTCATATCGTGACTAAATTTGAAACAATCAAAGCACACACTGCATGAGTCTTCATTAAGCTTGTTGTGGCAGTAGCCTGAATAGCCTACAGTAACTCCGAACATGTGCTGGCTTGCGATTGGATTGCTTTACTTTCGATTGGCATCGGCTTTGGAATGAGGGTGATCGTTTCCAATCAATATACGCAATACAACTACGACTTCCCAGAAATCTCGGCTACACGTACACCTTAGGGTAGCACTAGTGCCTTTCATTGTATGCCACAGGAATGTCCTTTGTTTACTTGCGCTTATGCAAAACTACATGCTCACGAGCCACACAGGTTTTTTTGCAGGGGGCCCTTCATTTTCCTGACGAAGACGTCAACAGATGTGGGAATGAATACGTGGCCCTGGCCCCAAACCACTCCACGTTGGTACCTCACCCGTCGGGTTTTGTAATTTTACCTTGTTTGCTTATTTGGAGCTAATAACAAAGTATTGGCTGACATAGAATGGGTTGGACAAACTGCAACACTGTAGGGGCCCCACTGTTCGACCTCACAAGTATGTTCGAATATTGTCAGCCGCCTCGATTACTTGCGGAGCCTTTGCGCTTTTCTGCGTCTCTTGCTCTAGCGCCTTGTGCAAATGAAGATTGTAGCTTCCTTTGTGCTTGGGACTGACTTGTCCAAATGTAAAATTAAGTTGATACAAGCCTTTTGTGCCGACTGTGTTCGATATCGGCTGGAACAACACAAAGTTTCCACATCAAATGCCCACAGCCAGCAGGTTGACAAGGGCAGGAAACCCTCCACCGATCATACGCCCCCAACGGCGTCGCTCCGCGCACTGCAGGCAAGAAGTTACGGAGGAGCTCTCGAGATGCGCCCTTGGCACGATGTCTTGGGATTCATCACCCGCAGATTTGAACGAACGCTTCTTGCAGACTGTGTCACACGGGACGAACAGTACTTTTGTACGAAGGCCCTTCAAGAGAATACCAAGGGGGAACGTTCTGAAATGAAGAACGCGTGGTTTGACGCGAGTTTACCGCGGCTTATTCTTATGTGCTGGACTGATGCAAGTCGTACACGACCTCCCTGCAGCTGACCCCCATCCATGCCTGCGGACAATTTTTAACGGGTTCGCCAGGAAATAGAACGAGCTTGCCCAAAATGAAAATTATGTGCTTTTCTCGGTTGAATTTGCCGTGTGGAGATTTCTCCCTCGGCCACACTGACTTCTTCTCCGGGTACGGCACCGGAGAGCACTCACCTGACCCTGTAGTTCAAGAGTTTTGTCCATTCAAATCATGGTTCCGAAAGGGCGACCTATCATTTCACGCAAAAAGGGCAAGATTTGTGCAGATGGTGCCTTGCTGAAGCGCGTGTGCGCTGGGCGAACCAATCTGGGCACTCCGCAGAAAGTGTACCTATCCAGGAGCCAAAGAGCCAGCTTGCTGTAAATCCTGTGGCTAAAGTTTGCCCATCCACAAACCCGACACTTCCTGGGTTGGTTGGTGTCCCATTTTAGGCCGGCCATCCGTCCCTTAAATAGGGGCAACGGCTTTGGGCTGGAGCCTAGGGCTGGGACTTTACATTCTACTCACTTTTTGGGAAAGATGTTGGCAAACAAGTGCAATTCCTGGACTTGGCCCATCCCCTGGTTCGGAGGTGAGCTACAGCTCTCCGGACACCGTTGACTTGGGACCCCTTCGCCCAGGCAAGAACGAAGACCACACAAATGGGTGTGGCTCAAAATTAAACAGGAGGGGCCAACCGCAGGTTTTGGTCCATGTTGCCACTTACCAGGTTTCCATTTTGGCACCAGTTTTTTGAGCCACAGCCAAATATGTTTGAATCATTTGCTTGAAAATGGCCGGTCTTCAAGATATGTTTGCTATTGAGGACCCTTTTTTCAGTGGAACCAAACTAAGAACAAGCCACTCAAAGAGTTGGTTCTTATGCGGGCTCTTTTCCCTTCATCGGGGGAAGGGCTTATTTGGGTGGTTAAAACCCTGTACCCTCGGTAAACATCCCAATCCCCACTAAAATAGGTTCTAAAATGGGTGGTGCTGCCCCAAAATGGGTTTTCATTGGTTTTGACCCATGGCCATTTGTTGGGGCATACCGCCAACTCCTTAGCTTGGTTCTCTGCTGCGCTTTTGCCGCAGCTCCAGATATGTCTCAGATTTCCGTGAGCCAATAACACTTGTTGGTTGCCCATGGGCTGGTGTCCTCTTGATCTTCAAGGCGAAGCTTGGATGCTTAAGGTTTTATGTTTTTTGTTTAATGTCGGGCGGCTTTTACTTAACTTTACGTCTGCGGGATCTGCTTGCGCCGAAGTCGGATTCCTTCGCTGAAAGATTGAGCGCTTGGAGCCATCCGATTCCTATGGCTTTTGGGTTTTAATTTTGGGGGGGGTCCATTTGATCAACTGAACTAGGTCCAGCCAGGTGCCCTTTTTACCGTTCCTTTTTTGGGGGGAGGGTTCCCCTACTAAAAAAGACTACAGAAAAAAGGGTACCCTTATTCTAACCTCTCCACTGGAGGACCTAGACTAAAGTCTTACAACCAACTTTTAGCAGGGGATTTGAGGGCAGAAGCCCGTAACAAGGGGCTATCCCAAATTCCAGGAGGGGGGGGTAGTCAGCTAGGGGGTAGTTAGACATAAAAATTACAGTCATTCCAAGAATTTTCAGTTTCCCCTGCATTGTGGGATGCAACTATCGATGGCTCCATAGGACTCATGTCATCTTTTCCTCAGGCGAGCGCGCGGTATATGAGCCTGGAGTCCAACGAGGAAGGTACGCCGACCAGGAAGCTGGGCGCAAAGAGGGGTAAGACAACTTCCCTCCCCCCCTCCCTCCCCGCAAATTCACGCAAAGCCCCAAAAAGTGCGCGTGAATGATTTCGGGGTTCCATCTAACCTGCAGGAGTGTAGGTTTATGTTGTTTGCTTGTCCTGCCCATGGTTTTGTTTGGGGGTGCAAACAGCAGATGTTTTTTTTTTGAGGAGAAGAGTAGGGAAGCGACCCCGACTCCTGCCCAGCGCATGAAGGTCAAACAACGCTGAGGTTTGTTGGACCACCGCAGGTTTTTTTTAGTGGAGTCCGCTGCCTTTGGCACTTGTGATTTATGGAAACCTGCTGTGTTAAAGTGTCTTAAACATATCTCATGCGTCGCTAGTGTTTGTCAGATTTGGTCCATGTTGAGTCATGGTTCCAACAGTTGGTTGACCCTTTGTTCGCTTCCCTGATGATTCAGAACGGTGCTGGATTTTCAGTAGCGGCTGCAAAGAGCAACATTGCTTGCTGACATTCCAGCTGTTGCGAAGCAAGGCAATTCTCACTTCCAGAGTTCCTGGGCTTTATACTTTTGTGGGGAAGACCATTTTTAGTGGCCAACAAAAAGTTCAGACTTGTTTGGCCCATCCACTCGGAAAGTGCGAATTCCTGATGTGTATGAGCACATGTTTCACTGGCGAACTTTGAAAAGTGTGCATCCTCGGCTACAACCACCCCTGGAGTTGTTGATGAGAGAGACCAACCTTGGATGGACTAGCAGCAAGCGTATGATTGTTGGGGGCAAAGGCTGAGCTAGATTTGAGCGACATTCTGGGCAGCTTGGCTTTGCGATCCCCACCTGCAGTTCTGCCGTCCTGTTTGACTCACAGCAGGTTTCACAATTAGTTTCTGGCTCGGAACTTCTGGTCGGAATATCCATCTGAACCTGCACTGTGGGTGACATGTGTTAGCTGTTTGCGTCTTTGGTCTGGATGATGTTTGCTGGGTTGTGCGGCGAGAACAAGGCTCTCCGGTACATACCGGAATTGCGGTTTGATTTCTGTGTGCGGGGTTTGGCTCAGTCAGTTTGGTTAGGGGTTGTCTTCCTCCTCAATCCAGCTATGCTCAACTTGTGGCAAGCTCACTGACCGATTTCTCCCAAACGCTTCCTTTCTTGGATTGGCAGAGCCCAACCAGCATGGTGTAGAGATGCGCACACCTCGAGCAATTTGCAGGCCAGTTGGTCAGCTACTATTTGTGCAGAGTTTTGGAGTTGAAAAGTCGTCCCGTTCCCGGAGTTGTGTTTGCCTCCGGGGCCAACGGTTACCTCTTTCATTGTGCACATGGCGTAAATGTTTCAACACCTCACCGGTTTTGCCACATTCAGAAATGAAACTGAGATCACTCTTAGCGCGGCGATGTTCAAGGAACAAGTTTGGAAGGACAAACGAAGACAGACACACCCACCTTTGCTGTGGATCCCTCATTCATCAGTTCATTTATCCATTCATGCGTCCGTTTGTTCGTTCATTCTTCATTTGTTTGTTCATTCATTCATGGACTCATGCACGTATTTACGTATGTATTTATCATTCATTCATTCATGAATTTATGAATTAAGTTATGCATTGATTAGTTTATTTACCCATTGACTCACTCATTGATTCATCTATCCGTTCACACTTCCATGTGCTATGTTTGCTTCCCCTTGCCCGTTGGCACCCTAAAGTGGTGCCACGATTGGATATATACCTACCCGTTGGTGGGTATGTTGTGTAAATGCCCTTCGTTCGGGACAAGTGTTTCATATGACGGGTGTGCAGCCAGTCTTTGTGGGCCGTGTTCTATTGCTGACCCGCGTGGCGACAAGATGTACCAAGCAACATCTATATGTTATGTATCTCTATATATATACACTTACGTATATATATATATATATAACATATATACCGAGTATATTCATTATATATTCAATATGTATACATGGCTTAGTTGCTCGTTTAGTCGCGCATCTAGTGCCGCATTCGTTGTTTATTAAACCGAACAACATACGTTTTGCTTCATGGATTGATTTACGTACGCGCACGTGCCTTTATATATATATATATTCATGTATATGCATACATTTATGCATACATGTATATGTATATATAAATGCATACACACACACATATATATATATACACATATGTTTGTGATCGCTGCGCCCAAGCTATCCCCACATGCGTGGTGCTAAGTTCACGCCTGAGCAGCTGCTGCACCAGCATCCTCTCCAGCTATTACTTTGATGCGGCTTGCTCGGCATGGGAAATCCGACCCCCCCTCCTCACCATGATATGGGGGTGTTTTCTTCCCCAGAATTGTTCCCCTTTTCATTGTTGTTTTGCTTCTTTGGGGTTGCCTTTGTTGTCCACTACCAGGCAAAAAAAGAAAACACATTTTGTGCTGGGGTCCTAATTCCAGCCAAGTCTGAAGATAGGAGATTCGTGCAAGAGGGTGAATTCGCCTTTGAAGTCCCTTTGAATCTGCCCCCAAACGAATGGTGCCCTGAAAAATCTGAAAAGCGACTGTATTGCCCAAACGCAACTTTAAAACGGGATCACCCAAAAGGAGATTCCTCCATCCTGCAAGCCACCCATCATGCTTGTGGAATATGGTGCGTCTTTCTGTGAGAATGCGGATCCCAGATAGGGCGGACGGAGAAAGAGGATTTCTGCAAAAAACAAACTAGAAACACTGGGCCATGTCTTTGGCTTGGATGTTAGGACTTTAACTCTTTGCCAACTAATGGGTTTTCCATTAAACCACACAAAGTTAAGCTTTTAGAAGAGGAGCAGAAAGCAACCGAGCACTTAGCTGGTGGTTTGGATTCTTGGTTTGGGATTTGAAGCCCTGGCTCTTGTGGAGGGTAAATGGAAAACCACCCCACCTCCAAACCACCAAACTAGAAACACTGGGCCATTTGTTGAGTTCACCCTCCAAGTCGCTTAGTGGCTCCCCCACTCCAAATGGTCAACCCCAAAAAAGGTTCCCTTTTTCTAGGGTCACTAAGCAACTGAGCTTGTCCCATTTGTCCCTGCCCCAAATTTGCCGCAAGAGGCTTGGAACAACAATTCTGGATACATTGGGCCATTGGTCCCAAACCCATTCCATTTTTTTTTTCTGGTGCCTCCTTGCCAGGAGCCAAACCCTGTCCCGGAACTGGAACCCTGGGGGGGGCGGGGCGGGGTGTGGGGTGTGGGGTGGGGCTGTCGGACAGATGGGCAGCGCCTGGCTGGTGGTCTTCAATGCCTGCTGGATCGGCCTCAGCACTGCCGCGCGGAAGGGAAGAAGGGATTCCGGGCGTCGGAATGCCCCGGACATGGGTGTCTCTTTGTTTGTTTGGGCACGCGAGGAATTTTCGGGGGATCCTTGCTTGTTTTTTGTTTTCTTCTTTTTGTTGTCTCCCCTTTTTGTTTAGTCTCAGGCTCGGAGACTCTAATAACATGCCGAGGTTTTTCGGGGGGGCATTGGGTTGCAAGTGAGTGAAGGCCGAATGTGTTGGGACGATTTGCCATGACTCCTTAGACTCGGCACATTGTAAAGCATTGCAAGGCCATTTGGTTTCACAAGGGTCATATAGTTCATAGAGCTGTGGCTGTGTTTCGCTCTTTTAGCATTTTCCGGGTTTCACTGTTGGCAACGCCATGCATCTTTGCATTATACTGCCGCATCGGTGCTTACAATCTTGGCATGCGTCTTTCTTTTGTTGCTTCTTTGGTTCTGCTCATGTTCAGCTCACTTCATATTAAGACAATGTTGGTGGCATTCCCAAACAGTGTGCTTATTCTTTCGCGCCAATCCACCCGTTCGAAAGCGACAACTAGTGGAGGTTCCACAGAAAACCGGTTTTGCGAACCTTCACTGTTGTTGGCGTGTTTGTAGGTGTCTGTTCTGTTCTTTTTGTTGTTGTTTTTTTTTTTCCCCTTGGGGGCTGCAAACAAATAAAAACATGTCTGGTTGGAAAGAAACATACCAAGAGTTTGGAAGTCCCCCCCCTCTTCCCCCCCCTTCCCCCACCCCCACCTTCCAACCTTGCAGCCGTAAGGACTGGGTGGCCCGCAACTGGAGCAACGCCATGCCCGACTACTTCCACTACGGCGCGGCCCGGCCGAATGGTCGGCCCGGCTCGTCGGCGGCAACCCTCACCTGAGCCACGTGCTCAAAGCCGATTCGGGTCGATGCTTCCTGGTATTCTCGGGTACTGGTATGGATCCCTCACTGGAGCAGGATGCGTCTAAGGAAGCCAGAATTTTGAGTAAACCAACGCCCTGCATTTGAAGCATCAGTGCAAAGGCAGGTTAGTAAGGAACAATCCCCTTGCCATAAATAGCTGCGGATATCCGCCGTCTTAAGTGAAGCATGGTTCTGGGTTTACGACCATTTTAATACCGGGTTTTGAGCAAGTGACTCAGCTGGGGCTTGCTCTCTTGTCAATGGATCGGCTTCCAACCAGGGGTTCGCATACCCAAACCGCCAATCCAAACTACCAATCAAGGGTTCCAGGGGCTCAAATCCCCAAACCAATGCAAGCTATCAATTCAGGGTGTTTAAGGGTTGCCTGAATGGAAGTGGACCATAGGGACATAGTCTTCCACAAGCCCGATCGTTAGCTTCAGTAAGTTGTTGGAGGGAGCGGTCCTGCGAAGCTTCTGGATTGCCCACCGAACCTGGCAAGATCCCCGTCAGTTGGTAGGGCTTTGGTACACGAGGATTTCTGACAGGGTAGGATGGGGTACCGGGCAGAAGCGCTGTTGGAATATTTGACCTCGACTTCAATGAATCACCAAATTGGACCTTTGGGTTTGCCGTCTTCCAGCTGGAGGTTGTTCTTTCTTTCTCTATGTGCCGAATGGGAAGCAAGCTTTTGACTGGTGCGACTTGATCCAGGTGTTGTCAAGGTTGGAACTGGCTATGGGGTATGATGAATGACACCAACTTTGGTCAATGAGCTCATCAGGGGGGCGTTGACCCTAGTAAGTTTGGCTTTTAAAGCCAGAAAGTGGTGGGCAGTTGGACATTCAGCTTGGTGTTTGGATACTTGTCCTGCTTTCCATGCATTATACACTTCAAACACCACACCCCACAAAATACCAAAACACGCACTTGACAAAAGTGAGTTCAACAAAGCATACAAATAGCATGTAGATGTTTGGGGAAACACCCCTTCAAAACACGTGCCCAGAGCAATACGGTTGTTGGAGCCTGTTCCGGCCCTCCCCCAACATGAAGTCCTGGCAAAGGGGCTCCCAATAGCTGCGCCAGATCGAGATAGTGGTGGTTTCCCTTGTTGCGCATCCCGCTGCTGGTGGCGGTTTAGGATTATAGATCTCCTGCATTTGGCACAAACAATCCACCCATTTGGCCGTGAATCGCCACTGTCTGGATTAGGCAAACGGCTCCTTCGAAGGTGTTCCGACTGGCAAGAAAGGCGGGCGTTCAGCTTTCAATGTTTGATTCGTGCGGACACTGACAATCTAATTTGCGGAAAGGGTCTAAGATGAAGAATGACATGCCCAAGGCGACATCACCTACCCTTTTCGTCGTTTTGCCCCGGGTTTCCTTCATCTAGGTCCCCCAGCTAGGTGCCCTTTCTCACCCCCTTTTCTGGTTGGCAGGGTTCCCCTAGTAAAATAGACTACAGAAAGAAAGATGGTACCCTTATTCTAACCTCTCTACTGGAAAACCTACTCCCAGCCATCCCCTCAGCTTTTTAGCCTTTTAGTGCTTAGTTGGGATGTCCATTTAACCCACTAAAAACTTGTTACACTTGTAGCGGGCTTGACTTTTAGAGGGGGATCTGAGGACAGCCCAGTTAATCTCTTCCCCCTATTAATAAATACGGCCCCCGTATTCCCCCCTATTATAAATACTGGGGGTCATTCATAGGGGGAGCGGGTTATGTTTCCTTCACGTTCCCCCCAAAAGCTGTTGGAGTTGAGGTTTCGGGGGTCAGGACTGGGTCTTCTGCGTGCTGGCGCTGGCGGAGCTCTTTGTGCGCATGGGCGCGCAGGGTCTCCACTTCTTCTACGAGGCCGTTGGCCGGAGACGGCCATGGGCCCAAAGGAAGGGCCCACAAGGGCCCAGATGTGGATCAAAGCACGGAAGCCAATGGGCAAATTGGTCCAGGGTCCAAGCCAACTTGTGGTGACGAGCCGTGGATCAAACCCAAATTGGTCCAGGGACCTGCGAATTCGTGGGCAACATGCCCAAGAAAAAACAAGAGGACATGATCAGGTTCTTTATGAGTGAACATTGGCTCTCAAGCTTCCTGGGATTGGTTGCTCATGGCGAAACCAAGCAACATACGTGTCAACTTTTAAGGGAGACTAGCGGAGCTTGTTGACGCAAGCGTGGCTTGACATGTTTAAGAAGGGGTGGCCCAACGCAATTGTTGAGGCGAGCTAGGGAAAGTATAGGAGCTCTGGAACAATGCTGGAGTCCACCCGAAGTATGGGCAAATGAAGTCTTAGCATCGGGGGAGTGTTTGCTTGCGCCCTCGCCCATGACGAAGTTCCTTGTTGTGGGTCATTTCTTGTTTCAGATTGTGACAGATTGCAACATCCCCACCCCCTTCAAAATGGAATTGGGCGAGGGGGTGACCCCTGGAATTCCATTTAGGGTTTCATTTTCCCTTTTGTGGGGACCGACTAAATGGAATTGTGCTACCCCCCTCCTCCTCAAGGTAGGGGGGCTATTGCAACTCACCCAGACCTTTCCCTTCCTGCACTGATTAAAGGTTCAATCGTTGCAAGTTCCTGGCCATGAAGACGGGTCTTCGCTTGAATGGAGGGCTGTTTGAGCATGTGCTGCGGAACCAGAGAAGTGGCTGTGGGTCAAAACCAATGGGATCCCATTTTGGTTGGTAGGTGAATTCACCACCCATTTTAGTCTATTTTAGTGGGGATTGGGATGCTCACTGCAAGTACGGGATTTTGACCCATGGCCAAGTGTCACTGCAAAAAATACCACCGAACAGGCACATTGACTCTAAGAGGCCTAAGAGGCTGTATGGGGTTGTCTCAAGATAAGGGGATTGCCAACATGTTCGAATTAGGCTTCCCTTCCAAACCGACCAAAGAAGGATTAATCCAAACAAGTGCGCGGGGCCCCTTATGTTTCAGGCCGCAAGAAGCATGCTGACACACTAATACAAAATGAGAACACTGAGAAGCGCTCAGAAACACCAATGTTGTAGAAACCCCACCTCCCAGGAGTTTTTTTTTCTGTATGTTTCAGGGGCTGCTGAAAAACCGCAGGGAAGCACAAAAAAGGCCTCGCAGGACCACTGGAAGTGGAACGTGTTTGATACCCTCGTGGTGGCGACTCAAGTCATCGACCTCCTCGGCAGCCGCGCGGCCGGCGTCGTAGGTCCGCCAGGTGCCCGCCCTTTCTCACCCCTTGTTTGGTTGGAGTTTACCCTTCTTTTTTTTTGGGGGTTGGGAGGGAGGAACTGAGGACACCCCACGTCCTGAAAAAAGTTGGGTACCATATCCGGTACCATCTTGTTCTAACCTCTCTACTGGAGGACCTAGGGAAGGTTGGTTTTGGCCCCTGAATCGGCACGGGTCGTAGGGCAAAACGTGGTTGCTCTGTTCGTTTGCTTCGTTCGAAGGAAGGGTCCCTTCCCTGGATCCCTTGCAGGACCATTCCACCTTTTTTTGCCCGACAGCTATGGAGTCGTTGGGGTTCCGGCAGGTTCTGGGGCCCAAAAGGGGTTATGTTCCGGGCTTATTAGTTTTAAGATTCAGCGCGGGTGTTTTCCAGTGCGTATTCGAACGGGTCTGTCTTTTTTGAAGGGGGCTTCTGTTGGTTTTAACGGAAACGAACATGAACACCACCATTTGGGGGGGGGTCCCGTAAAAACCGAAAAAGGCACCCACTAGCGCAGACTGAGGCGTGCTGGAGCGGTCTGCGCTGACTTCGCAAACGAGCTACCAGACGATTCAAGGCGCGGTCGGGAGTCAGGAGACAGCCACTTCTTGGAGCTTCAGCCCAACCTCGAGTTGTTTATTTCTCCTGCTTCAGAGATCTAAAAAAAATAAAACGTGTCAGAAGCAAATGGAGGCCTCATAGGTGCTTGGTTGCGCTGACCTTTGCATAGCGTTCGCGAAATCTGCTCGATAATGGGGCCATCCATGGCTTTCGGGAGGGGTAAAAGCTGAGGTTTGGGCAGTGCATCTCAATGTTGAGCAGCGTGTCCTCCAAGATTCCACTTACTTGGTTCTTTGTTCGAAACGAATTTTGGTCAGTCCAACCTGAAAAGCGAAGCGATTTTGAAGGTGCCCAATCTTTGGTGGTTTTAAGGGACCCAAAATGAACCCAATTTTGGTCAGTCCAACCTGAAAAGCGAAGCGATTTTGAAGGTGCCCCATCTTTGGTGGTTTTAAGGGACCTAAAATGAACCCAATTTTGGTCAGTCCAAGCTGAAAAGCGCAGCGACTCCGAGGCTTGAGGGTGCTGAAGTTGGTGCGGATCCTGCGCATCGCCCGCATCGCCTCCGCCTTCCCCGAGCTGCACATCTTGATCAGCTCCATCATCGACGCTCGGAGTCCGATTCCATTCCCGGAGACCATTTTGCAGGGCTCCAAAAAAAAGATCGGTCTACATTTTGCGTCACCAGTTGAAAAACATGTGGCTTTTTCAACACCAAAATATGGCTGGAAACCACCATTTGCAAGTTGCAATGTTCAGGTGTATAATCTAAGGATCCCTGCATAGCCTTTCAGGGTTCAGGGTTCAGGGTTCACCTCTTCCTGTTGGAGGGGGTTTCCCTAGTTGGACTTGATGCTTTGGGTTTGGACCATTTCGGCAGCCCCAAAAAGGCGAGACCTTTTTCTTGTTGGCCACTCAGGTAGTGAGCCACGAAACGGGCGCCGCCCAAATCCACGGGGCTCAGGTCGATGTTTATGTTCGATGTATCTTAAAAGATCTTAAAAGGCCCACCTTCCATTTCCAATGGCTCCAGGGTTTGCTCGGTATAGTGACGCCTTGTATAAACCATACCCGTGGACTTGCCCAAAGCTGACCTGACCCTTGCACACCCAGTGTTGGTCTATTTGGCAGTGGCTCAAAATTAAAGAGCTAGGGTTACGCAGGTTTTGGTACATGTTTCCACTTACCAGGGTTCCATTTTGGCACTGCATTTTTGAGCCATGCCCATTTACAACCTGGGTGCTTTTATAGCCTGACTTGCTGACGACAGCCAAGCGGTTCCTGCGCGGGCCTGGGTGATCAGACCACATATTTCAGACCCGCATATTCAACACGCAGTCGAGATTCCGGAAGGCCAACCTTGTAACTTCCGTTTTTTTTTTTCCCCTGTTGGTTTTAAAGGAATCTATCACTATTGAACATATTTTGTTTATTTCTTCCAGGGGGATTAAGCAAATGGCAGCTAATTCCTGTTCCTTTTTGGCAGTGGTCGCTGGGTGGGTATCAAGGGGGGTCCCCGTTTTGCGTTCTGTTGAGACGCGCCGGGCGTATGCTGACCCGCTAGTGAACTCACAATGTAAAGGCTGAAGCTGAGCCAATGCTCAGTTACCCCTTATGGACACCAAAAGAGGATGTGTGCTTCTTGCCAAACACCCTAGGAAGCTGCGAGTTTACCTGAGCGGCGAGCCCATAGCAGAATGCTGAAATGGAAGCATTTGCATTGAGTGGGTTGGGCACCATTGAGCACGGCCTCCCAAGCCTGCGGCTCCAAATCCAATGGTTGCACTTCCAAGGGTGCCAAGTAAGACCACGTTGGAAGGGGGAGTGCAAAAACGCGGTTTCAGGGGGCAAATGGGTCGCCCCGAAAAAAGTCGCTTTTCGCTTACCCAAGGCAAATGGACCAGATCTGACCTTTGAGTTTCCTAACGCCCACAGGGATTTATGGGACCGGCCCCAAGTAAAGGCAGCCCTGCAACCACAAATGCTCCTGGAACGCAGGTATAGCCCAGCGGTCCACTCGCTCAACCCTGCTTTTGGGGTAGTAGGTTTCCTCGATGCCCCTGGTACACCCAGCTATGTTCTAGCCATGCACTCCCCGTTCTTTTTCGGGATCCTCAGCTTCTCAGAAAATGGCAACCAAAACGTATGGACCATTGCTGGTTTCTACAGGGTCCAGGGTCACCCTTTTTAGTTGGTTTTCAAGCAAGACCACAAGGAAACCAAAAAAAAAGACACCCCAAAGGAATGATGGGTGAAGAGAAAGGGTAAACCCGTCGAGATTTCTGTCAGCAGTCCGCATGCACCCTTGCGACTTTGCCCTTGCAGGTGTGTCATGATCTTGGCCCTGCAATTGTTGATTTGGAAGATTAATACAGGTTGTCTTCCCCCAAAAGTCAAGGTTTGCCACAAAGTGGGCTGCCCTATAATCTAGAGAAGGGTTTGGATGCGCTTTTTGGTGGATTTCACCCTGTTCTTTCTCCTGTTGGCCCTTTTCCACAAGCGCCACATCCAACGCTTCCAAGATTTGTCCCCGATCCGATCGAGGATTCGCTGCAGTCGCTCTTCTGGACCATGGTGCTGATCTTTGCGTGCCTCTATGCTGTGTCTGTAGCCGCCTTGGCGGCACTTGGCTCCGGATGGTTGGAGTTTTTGCGGTTTACGCCACTTCAACACTTTTTCAGGAGACCCAAAGTGACAGGAGGGTTTGGAAGGACTACTTTCCTTTTGGGGAAGTCCCCTCTCCACTTTTGATGACTGTGGAAAGAGGGTACTGTTCAAGGGGTTCCCGCAACATCTTCAAACCCCTTGGCAGTAAGCCTTGCTCTGGCTTGTTAGCCCATGCTGCTTGCGGCAGGATTGTCGGACATACGTATATATGTGTATATATACATATTATGTATGCATGCTACTGTGCTTTCCTTGCTGATGAGTTACAGAGGAGTTTGCCAATCAGCATCACGGTTTTGCCAAAGGCGGAAAGCGCATTGCTCTGAACATACACTTGGGTGCTCTAAAATGTGGTCATCCTTGTGATGCTGCGCACAAAGGGTTCCCAACGGGGTTCACTTTGGATTCCAAGACAGGCCATTGGAAAGTACCGCCGTTGGTGCATTTTGCTTGGCTGTTAGGACTTTAACTTTTTGCCAACTAATGGGTTTTGCACTAAACCACTAAAAGTTAAACTTTTAGCAGGGGAGCGGAAAGCAACCGGTTATGGGCTTCAGTATTTTGAGACAAACCCGCGTTGCTTCCGAAGTCTGCCACGCAGAAGGCAGCTGGCTTTCACGAAGCATCTATGGTCCAGCCCCACGCTCCTGCAAGTGGTTTGGGGTTTGGTGTAGCTGTTTCACATGTGCACGGTGCTTTTTGGCCGCCCAACTAGCTTCCCGTTGCTTGAAAGCCACCGAGATCTGCGAAATATGAGTGGCCTTGTAAATTGAGGTTTCGGGTTAAGCGGATCCTTGTGATCACCAAAACCGGTCACCTGCGACCAAAGCTGGCGTTTCGAGGGTCAGAGTTCTTTCGGTTCTCCAAATTTACTTGGATCCTCTGGTTTCAATCAAGCAATCCTTCTTTGATGGTTTGGAGTGCTGGGATTTACAGCCCTACTTGTGCCAGGGCCCTCACACGTGTCCGGTCGAGGACCACGCAGAAAGAGTCATCCAAGTGACAAGGAAGTGATACAATAGCATCCGTTATGAGGGGAGAAGGAGTTCGTGCCGAGGACCACCCTCCCATGGAACCTGGCTTTTGGATTCGATGAATTTCCTCGGCCCGGCGGGTTCCCTGCTATTTGGATGCTAGGGTACCTCCGAAGGCTCTTTTTTGTTCACACACCCCTGAATGGCACACCCCGACCCTCACCCCCCAACATGTTTGTTCTGTGTACTTGGCTGGTGTGTTTAGATAGGCAAAGTTGGGCTATAGGGTACCTCCGAAGGTTCTTTTTGGTTCACGGCCTGAATGGGACGGTTCGACCCTTTCCACCGCCCCCCCCCCCCCTAAACACAGCCCCTTGGGGAAAGACCCTTTCACCCCCTCAAAGAAAGACTAGACCATTTTGCAGGGCTCCTTAAAAGATACATTTTGCAACCATTTGAAACATGTTGCTTTTTCGACACCAAAATAAAGGGAAACCACCATTTACAAGTTGCAATGTTCAGGTGTATAATGTAAGGATCCTGGGGGAGTAGGCCAAGCTCCATGCGGGAGCCGGACGGGCAGGTGATCACACAGCTTGTATCAGACCACAAGATCGCCATTGGACTCTTGACTGCAGAGGCGCCTTTCTAGGGGAAACTTCCATTTCCATTCTTTCCAGTGATCCTTCTTGCTAGAAAACCACCAAAAACCCGTTGAAAGAACGATGGCTGCAAAGAATGAGGAATCAACCCCTAGAGCATTTGCATCTCCCGATGCTCTTGACTGCTGGGTAACGGATCTTTAGACTTCTTCACTTTTTGCTTGAAATGAAAAACATGTTTTACACTCAACCGGGACCCAGAAAGTGAATCACTTTTTGCAGGGGGTCAACAGCAACCAAGTGCTCGAGGGAAGATGCCTTCAAAGGAAACACTGTTGTTGCGGGAATCAAGCTCCGGTTGTCCAGAGCTGATTGTTTGTGTGTGTGTGCACGTTCCAGCGATCCCCGTGTCAAGCTGCCTGTTGAGTAGGCATGCAGTTGCGTGCTGCAGGGATTGGTTTTTTGCACCTGTTTGCCAACTCACTGTTGGTTTTGCGATGGTTTTGCGCTGTTTGTTTTTCATTGTCCACCCCTCTTTATGAAGGGATCCACGCTGATAGCCCAGATATTTTGCCAAAGCAGTCCATCGTCAGCTGAGGACGTGAGGAGATGGAAAAGGAGGAGCAGCCTGTCAATCAAGTTAGTTGTGCACGGATGCCCTTAAGCAAGCGAAGGTATTCTTTTCTAAACTGGGTTCCCCAAATAGTGAATCAGGGGTGTAAGACTTGCAAATCTTGGGTTGGCATTTTTCTCCGATCCCTTCACAGCTGCCTCTAGTCTTCTGAGCCCTAGGATTTTTGCACAAGCAAACTTGGTTTCTTGGGGAGCAGGCAGCAGTCTCAGGAAGATGCTGGAATTCTTTGGCTCCATGGACACCACGATGCTCTCCTTGTACATGGCACCTTGGCGTCTCAGTGGTTTTAGACTGGATAGCCGGAAGGTCAGGGCCTGTCAAGGATTGCCTGTGTGCGTGTCTGTGATTGTTTGTGTGTGTGTGCCGGAGTGGTCCATGCTGGATACACTGAGCTGCAGACCAACTATGCATGGGCTATATGGTTTGGATGCACCACCCAAGACCCTGAAAAACTGTTTTCGGTGCATTCTCGGCGTGACCTGTCAAACAGGTGCAGGTTGCGGTCACTTTGGAGAGATAGGGCGGACATTCTTCTTAATGTTCACACGCAAAAGCAAGTGCCACACTTACATTGCGTTCGCGCAACATTGAATTTGCATAGGGCCTGGGTTTGGACATGTTTGGACCCATGCCATTTTATGTCCTTCCCTTTGGGTATCCGTGAGGTTTCTGATTATTACTGCTG